GGAGCCTTCTGTCTGGAAGGATCAGGTGTGTGTGTGTGTGCAAATACGTGTGACCGGGTGGGTGCACGTGTGGGTCTGGAGCTTGTGTGTGTTTGTGCGTACGGACCATGTGAATGTAGAAAAAGGACCCCAAGATAGACTGGGGTGGTGCGGGGCACAGGTTGGGATGGGCTGGTGCCGGGCATGGCAGTCGCCGTCTGGGGTGACCCAGATGTCCCAATATTAGGGGCTTTGTCTTCTATATGCAACTATATCCCACACCCCCCCAAAAAAAGTGTCCTGATTTTTCACACTTGCTATCTGGTCACCCTATAGCTGGGAGAGGATTCCAAGCGCCTTCCTTTTCACTGGTGCGTTTTGTACCTGGGAATGTTGTCTATGCACCCGGCCATGTCCTCCTTTCTCCTCCTGATAGGACCCCCCAGCCTGCAGGCGCGGAGCATGGAAGCCCTTTTTCCAGCACCTGTCCCACTGTCAGCCTTGCAGGATCTCTTGCCTAGGCTGACGGGTCTGGGATGCTTGTTCCTGGACTAGTCAAGCATGGTTATTATTTGTATGCGGTAGCACCTGCAGGCCTGGCCTGAGATAGGGCCCCATTCATAGGAAGCATTTCTAGTGCCCCCTTCCTGTGGTACCCGGGCTGCATTTGGAAGCCCCCTGGCCTGATGTCCAGAGGCATAAAGCTCCTTCCGCCCCCTGAGCCGTTCCCGAGTGGTGCTGGCTCTGGGAGCGAGAAGATGCAATGCTGACCCCTGTCACTGGAGAATTTGCTTAGGTTTAGCTGGTTCTGAATGGCTGATGGTTCGGACAAAGGAGGCTGGGGAGGGGCAGCAGAGAGTTGCTGGGAACCCACTTCAGAGCCCACCTTATCACACTGACCTCCCGCTGCTTGGGGACGCTGCCCTTTGTCCTTCCACCTGTCCCAGATGCCCATGTGTGCAGTGAACCGCACTGTTTATCTCCGCTGAGATTGGGCTGCGGTTTGTTTATCAACCCGCCAGGTATTTGTGTGGCCGCTCCTGCTGCGTCCTAACCCTGTGTCAGGAGGTAGAAGCTTTGCCACGCCGAGCCATGATAATCAAACTCTGCTCAGCTCAGGCCACCGGAGTCCAAAGATCCCAGCTTCTGATTTGCTGAAGATTTGTTAGTGTAGCGCTGGAGGGGGCGTGGGGACAAAGACCAGTCTGGGCTTTGTGTGTCAAAGATGCACAGTAGGTCAAAGCCAAGCTCCTGAAGGCTCAGATCATAGAATATCAGGGTTGGAAGGGACCTCAGGACCTCCCTGTGGGATCTAAAATACCCTCTAGTAATGTGCTGGAGCCCTGGAGAGGCCCCGAGGGTCGAGTGGAGGGGAAAGCAACGCTCTGGGGCTGGTTGGGTGATGAGTAGGAATGGAAGCGTGCTGAGATGTGGCTGGCTTGCAGAGTGCTATGAAGACTCTCCCCCCAGCAGTAGGATGGGTGGGTGAGGGTGGGATTCCCTGTGGCCTAAGCCGGAGGTCATAGGGGTAGTTTGACTTCTAGGTTTGGGGGGGGGGGCAGCTCCAGCCAGGCCCATGGGGTTGTGTGTGTGAGGCAAATTCCGCACCTGCCCAAGGCTTGCACTTTGTGGGGGAGCAACAATACCCCTCCCAAACTACAGCCATGCCGTAGGTGTATGCCTTGTGTGCTCGTCCTCACCCTTAACCATGGGCGTAGGCCAAAAGCTCTTCCTGGCATTAGCCATGGGCATAGGCAACATCTCGCCCTTGCCCTAACTCAAGAGTATGCCAGGCGAGACTAAGTCTTGCTCCTCCCCATGGGTGGATGCCCAGGGGGCTTCATACACCACGGCCAACCTTTTCAGAAGCAGCCACTGATTTTGCGTGCCCGACTCAAGGCGCTTTGTACTGCAGTAGCATTTACAAGCTCCAGCCAAGAGCAGGGCCCCGTTGTGCTGGGTGCTATCGAGACACACAGAGACAGTCCCTGCCTCAAAGAGCATCCAGTCTTGGCTCCAGAGTCAGGAGCACTAGACCAATCCTTGGTACAGAGCACTTTGCAAACACCGAGCAATTAACCCTCGCGGC